TAAAAACCCCCGGTATGAGCGAGCTGCTTCGCTGAGGCCTTTTTGCTGGGGATGTCCAGCTCAGTCCAGCTGTTCTTCACATCAAGGCTGCTGCTGCTTGGCTGGCTTGCCTGATAGACGGCGTCTGAGCTCCTCCGTCCCGGCCCGGCTCGTCTGGAACCGCCGCCCGCGCGCCACCCCGCGCAGCACAGGAAGCGGGATGAAGGTGGATCCAGGAAGGGGAGAGGTCCCAGAAAGCCTATGTGGAAGCAGGAATGAGACACCACCGGAGAATACTGGACCAGAGGAACGGACAAGGTCCATGGTACTCCTGAGGGAGACACAATACAGATCATCTTTATTCATTAATATTGATCAGAATACACTGAATCTTTATGGGTGATATTCATCCAGTATACACTTGATATCTTTATGTATGGATATGAGTCAATATACACTGTATCTTTATGGACTGATATTGAATCAGTATACCCACTGTAGTCTTTATTGATCTATTGATCATATACACTGTATCTTTATGGATGATATTTGAATCCGTATACAGCTGTATCTTTATGGATGATCATTGAATCAGTATACACTGTATCTTTATTGGGATGATCCCACTTGATCCTGTAATTGACAGTCAGACGTGTGGACATATGACGGCTTTAGCTCGTGTTTCTAGAGTTACGTGTTGTTACGAACACGTTAGGAATTGTTAAATGTGATATCTTCTTAAAGGAGTTTGGGTGCAGGGAGCTTTTTAGTTGGTTCAACTGCTAATATGGATCATATGTTAACGTTTATCTCCACTACAGAAACCTAGCTAACTGCTAAAGTCTGATAAGGATGTCTGACAGTATTAGTTTGATTGATGCTTTAATAATGGGAGTATTGATTACTGACGCTGGCTGATCAGGATCATTATCAGGTGAATGTACTCTAACAGCAGTTTGCTGTAAATGGTTGCTCTTTGTGCTTGTTTTTCCTAATTAAACATGAAGTTGAACGCTTGAGCCCTTTTGTTGCTACGGAATATAAAGTCTGAATAGATGATCAGATATTGTAAAGTTTGGTGAAATCAGCTGATGGATAATAGGTGAAACTTCACCTGGTTAGCCATGAGAGAAAGCGTGCGGTCTAAATCTTCCACCAGCTGTTGGAACGTCGGCCGGCGAGACGGGACGGCGTGCCAGCAGTCTCTCATCATCAGATACCTGAGGAGACACATAGCGTTCAGCCCTCTTCACACACATTCACTCATCTGCTTCAAATTTTTGTCATTAAATGTTCTTTACAAGTGTTCCCTTCTTCTCGTTAATTTCATATTTTATTACGTGAACTCAAACCGGCGTGCACTCACAGCTCCTGCGTGCACGCGGAGGGTTTCTCCATGCGATGTCCCTCCTTCAGCAGCTTGAAGAGCTCCTCTACGGGGACGCCGGGGTAAGGGGACCCCCCAAGGGTGAAGATTTCCCACAGCAGGACTCCGAACGACCACCTGCAGCAGCGGCAAACACAGAAAAAAAACATTAAAACATTAAAAAACCTTCTTGGACACGTAATATGGAAAATTATTAGACTTCCTTTATCTGTTGCAGTGAGGTGTGTTTGTCTTCAGAGGGATCTTACTGTCTATCATTACATTATTTATATATTTCCATTTTATTTCAACCATATTGTTAATGGTTTAATGGTTCTTTCAGGGATAAATTAGTTTGAATTAAAAGTTTCTAAGATGCTGCTGCATCATGATCCTTATGTGGGATTACCACTATTTTTTTCGCTAAGAAAATAAAATTTTGTGTGTCTACATGTCTTTTTAGTCTAATTTATGCTCATCACAGTGTTTCAAGCTTAATTTAAAGTAACACAAAGTCAATTTTCTAAATTAGAAAACCTGATAAATAACTTTTTACTAGGTATTTTGATTTCACATTAACAAAAATAAAAATCACTTAAAATTAGTAAAGCTACTTGAACAAGAATGTTTTTAACTTACAAAATTAAGTTTGTGTTAAATTTTGATGCAATCAGTTTCAACAATTATTTTGAGTTAAATTAACTTATCTGGTTTCACAGTGTGTGCATTAAAGATAATTTATTTGGAGCTAAAAATAAAATCAATCACAGCTATTTTCATCATTGTTCAAGCAAAAATACAAATAATTTCCCTTCCAGTTATTCTTTCGAGTTTCTGTTTCTGTTTAATCTTTGGGGTTTTGGATTAAAATAACTGCTCAAACAAGAACACAAACATAGAAAGGTCTTTAAAGTTAAAACTTACACGTCGCTTTGGTGCGTATAAACGCGGTCGAATAAAGCTTCTGGTGCCATCCACTTCACCGGCAGTCGACCCTGTGGGAACATTCAAACGTCAGACCGCCGCCCCATAAAATCCTCCTGATATTTGTCTGTTAAAGGTTCTTACGTTCGTGGTCTTCTTGTAGTAGTCGATGTGGTGGATATCTCGGGCCAGACCGAAGTCGGCGATCTTCATCACGTTGTCCTCGGTGACCAACACGTTCCTGGCTGCCAGGTCTCTGTGAATACACTGCACGGCAGAGAGAGAGAGAGACGGGTTTACAAAACAACCACTAGGGGTCGTCTGACATGCTGTTTTCAGAGCTGACATAATCCAACATGAACTGACCTTCTTCGATGCCAGGTACGCCATTCCTCTGGCCACCTGGTACGCAGCAGACACCAGCTCCCTGATCTCCAGACTGCCCAGAGAGACCTGCCGGGAGTTGCTCCAGTACTCCAACCCGACCGGGCGACGGGCGCGCAGGTACTCCCTCAGGTTGCCCTGCGAGGCGTACTCAACCACCACGTACAGAGGGCCTGGAGGTCAAAGTGTCACCTTTAACTTCTTTAACTAAAACACATCACTGCCGATACACATCACACACAGCGCACACACTCACCGTCCTGAGTGCAGGCGCCCAGCAGGTTGATGATGTTCTTGTGTTTGCCGATCATCTTCATCATTTCCATCTCAGAGATCAGGTCGGACAGGTCCTTCTCTGTGGCGTCCGCTACAAACAAGTTCAGATAACGTCATGTTAAAGGCTCTGTTTACACCTGGTGGACAGCTGAGTACAGGTGTGAATGCACCCAAGAGGTATTAATATTGAGGTATTAATATTCTTATTCAGACCACATGTGTGTACACAAACAGCTCTGGTCCATACTGAAGGACTGCCTACTCAACTGACATCCTGTAAGTACACAGAACACTGTCTGATTTCCACTGCCAACACAATTTCAAGTGATGAACAAGCAACCACAGCATCTCTGGACTCCCTTGAAAAATTGCACACTTTTGAGAGTTGTTGAAAGAGGAGAAACTTTATGAACTTTGTGAATTGCGGCCTACGATCAATTCTTATTAATTTGGACATTCTTGTAAATTCGGCAAACGTTACACATTAATTAATTTATTGATTTGTGTTAAAAACATTGTGTCTGTTTCTCCAGCGTGTTGGTTGGAGAGCAGAGTTTAGTTCTCACCTTTGAGCATCTTCACAGCCACCTTCGTGAGGCGTGTTGGTTTATTTTTGTCGACGCCGATGGCCTCCGCCAGAACCACCTGACCGAAGCAGCCTTCACCCAGAGGCTTCCCCAGAGTCAGCCTGAGGACAGCAGATAGCAGACACATCAGCATACAGCACGCTTTAACTGTACATGTTACAGATAATCACTGCAGTTAATGCAACAAACACCTTCCTGTATAAGTTATAATGTTTGAACTGAAACTGTCGATACAAACAACAGCAGGAGAAGGAGAAATGTGACACTTTTGTCCTTGACTGAGACGTTACTAAGTGGGTCAGACTGAAGAGAGACAGCTCGCTCAGGTAGCACTGAAACTAAAATATGATCCAGGTGTTTTCACAGATGTCGTGCTATTGTGGTAGGCTAGTTTGGTTTTACAACAGACTCACTGTAGTTTTCATTTAGTTTCTGCCTGAAATGATCCCAAACTCTGGACACACTGTTGTTTTCTCTGTCTTCTCTTCGCTGTGCTAAACAAAAACTATGAAGGATAAAAAAAATAGCTGCCATAATAACCACCGTACAAAGGTTTATAAAACGTATCTTACATCTGATCTGTTGTCATGACAATTTGAAGGTTAGTCATAGAAATACAGCGTCCACGTTACAACCAGGAATGTGGTTTTTCTTTTTATGTGACCTCATGTGCAACGATGTTGCATCAAAAGTCGCCGTTCTGTATTTTAAGACAGCAGAAGGCCGAGGATGGCCACACAAGAAGAAGGAAATTAGAAGCTGTTAGAAAGCGTTCTGTGGGTTTCTTCACTTTTATAGCCACTTGGTAGACGGATATAATTTATCAAGAGGTTCCACAAGGTAACAGCAGAAGACAGGACTAAATGAAGGGTGTAGGCAGACTGCAGTAAGTCAAAAGGCTCATTATGCAGGAAGTGATGAGAAAAGTGTGAAAGCAGCTGAGGAAGCTGCAGCAGAAGAGCAGTGAGACGGGTTGCTGTCGTACCTGTCTCGTGGCAGCTCCCAGGCAGGATCGTAGGGAAGTTCGTACTCCGACACTCCTGCCAGGATGGTGGTGGCCGCGCTGGAGAGACGAGACTGACGCATCAAACACATCCCGGACTGATGGGAGGACGAGGACTCGACGGACACCTGCAGGGTCAGAGTTCTTATTATTATATAACTTTATGTGCTTCATTGACTCGGAAGAGATCCCAGGTTAACAGGAAGTTAAGAGACTAAACAGGAAATGGAACAAAGAAGGGAAACAGGAACGTTACCTGTCTCCTCAGAGGGATGCTCTTGGCTAGCTTCTGGACGGCTAACTGGCTGTTGAAATCGCTCTTCTTCGGGGCGCAGCAGAGTCTGCAGATGACCGCTGTGGCCGTGAGGATGATTATGATGAAAAACCCGAGGCAGTAGATGAAGATCTCCAAGTACGTCTGCGAGGGCAGCGGGGCGGGGGGCAGGTCTGAGGGGAGAGACGTTAGAGCACAAACATCAGGAGACTGTCGAACCCTCAGCGTCGCAGCTTTAACTTCGATTTCTGAACATCACGACTTACCATCGACCACGTTGAGCCACGCAGAGTGATGAGACACCCCGATGGAGTTTCCCGCCAGGCACGTGTACTCTCCAGCGTCGTTCAGAGTTACGTTCCTCAGAGTCAAAACCTCCATTTCTTTATCTGTTGTGTTCAAACCTGCAGTCTGGAAAACGAGAGAAATGAAATGTAAGTTAAAGAAATGTGTTGAGTTAAGAGATAACTTTAGTTTTATGAACAATCCCAAGGAAAGATTAAAACCAGCAGCGTGTTAGTGTGTCTTAACAAAAGCTTAAGTTTCACGTTCTACCACATAAAATAGGTCAGTAAATACGAGATAATCAGCCGATTATCAGACACATGTGCAGACAGCTGCTGTATTTAGCTGCTGTGGAACCGGGTTAGTGAGCTTTGGGACGGTGGAGGAAAAGTTTAATGCCCTGTACTGTAACTCTATATTTGTCTTTTGATATCAGCATTATATATTGGCAGCACTGCTCTGTAAATATCAGCCTTTGAAAAAGTCATATTGGTCTAAGTATAAACACAATTGTCTTCTTGTGTTTGATTAACTCGATGAATCCAGATCCTTTCGGTTTTATTTTTCTGCAGTAAAGGTCACAACAGCTGGGGGTTGTTAACAGCCCATTATATATACCGTCAATGGTTGTACCGCTAACCTAAGTACATGGTGGTAATACAGTTTTGCCTCTCTAAATGGATCAATAGCTGGTGGCAGTAACAAGCAAAGAAGTGCAACAAAGCGCCAACAAAGTCAAAAAGGAAGATGAATGTAAACAATCCAAAAATCAGCGTTCAGATAAAGGATGCACACAATGAGTTCTTCCACAGAGCTCCTTTAAATTCTGGTGTAAGACGTTCGAGAAGATAAATAATCAAAGTATATAAACTATGTGCAGCTGTGCATAACATAAGCAGAAGTTAGATGATAGAAGGTGAACATTAAACGCGCTCCCAGTTCAGATTCTGGCGCTACGATTTTGTCTTGAGCCTAATTGCAGGTAACTGGTTCGGTGCTCTGACTGGTGACATTTATGGTTAAGAAATGAGTAAATAACTGAGATTCAGTTCACCAGACTTTCATTGTGTTGAAGAACATAATAATATGAGCACTGAGTCTGGCTACAGGCCAGACACAACAAACCGCTCTGTCTTTCATCAGGAGTCCACAATTCATCACAGATGTGGTTTTACTCTGTCAGAGAGAAACGAAACCAGAGTCGTGCAACAAAGAGACGGATTCAACCACCGCGAGTGAAGGTTGTAACAAATAGAGTTTTATGTCACTGAATCACACCTCTTACATGTATCTTCACATGCTGCTGCCATAAAAATCAGGTTACTGAAGAAAAAGGTTTTCGAATTCTAGTTTAAAATGTATTGTTACCACATTTTTAAATAATACTATCTGCAGCCGCTATACATCCACTTAAAAAGAGCAACTAAACCCCCAAAAACATTGATTGTTGGTTGATTGATTAATTCAGGTCCAAATCTGGACATTTTAGTGCAAAGTACTGGAATTCTACACATTTATTTTGCAATAACAATTCACATTCAACTTTAGGTTCTTATTGCATTAAAAGATAAATTGGTCTTTTTTTTGTCTTCGGCCCTTCAAGATGTTTCCTCATCGTCCATTAATCCCCGATAATGGACACCACGTTACGTTTTGCTGTTACGAGGCTCAGTTTGAACTCAAGAACACACAAACCTTGAGAATGAGGACGTACGGGTGTCCGTCCGGTCCCTCTCTGCTGCCATTGACAGTGATGTGTTTGAGCCACTGGATGTGAGGCTGCGGGTCGCTGAACACGCGACACACAAATGCCACGTCACTGCCAACCACTGCGGTTTGGTTCGCCGGCAGACCGGCCTGCAGGATCGGTCTGTGAGGAGAACGCTCTGGAACAGAGAGTTTAAACAATGTGAGAGGTCACCAGCAACACATTCATTTATCATCAGAAGACCACAGTAAACCGGGTCACCCTCTATCTGTTTGCCATAAAACAGCTTTTTGTAAAAACGTGTGTGAATCCTGAGCAAAAAAAAAGTAAGACGATTTAATCCTTTAGGGTTTATTGTGGGCTTGTTTTTTAGGAGCCGGTTGCGCCAACAGGGATTAAGCCTTATTCTTGCTAAGATTGGGTAAAGAGTATAGTCAAAATCCAGCCTGTTTCTATAGTAACGACTGATAACACAATGGTGTTTTATGGATTGTCTTTCCTTGCCATGCTAAGGTTGCCTGAGTTGGAACAATCATTTATCGCCTCCGTTATCGCTCTCCATTTGATGTCTGTGAAATTTGGCTTTCTTTTTCTTTTGTTGCCACAAATTAGAAATGTTTAGCTATAAATTATCTAAACAGCGAGAGATTGTTAACAATGTACGACTCACAATGCTGGACAGCAGACTAGGTTTAAGTAAAGTCTTACAAAGCAGTTAGGACCAGGCTTATTAAAGACCAATTGGTGTTTCCGTGTCGATCGTGTCGTCTTATTGGGTGCAGTGATTTTCTTACCAACTACATCCAGCAGGTAGGTGTGTTTGAGACTCCCATATTCATTCTCCACCACACAGGTGTAGTTCCCTTTATCCGACGGGACCACTGACTCCATTATTAGTGTCCACATGTGGTCTCTGATCTGCAGGGTTGAGGATAAGAAATCAAATGAAAACAACTGGTTGGACCTGTGTCTGTTCTCTTTGTGCAGGAACGGTGAGAAATGCACCTTGAACCCTCCGATTCTTTGGTCCTTCCTGAACTCTTTCCCGTTCTTGTACCAGCGCAGGGAGGGAACCGGGTTTCCGGTTGCCTGGCATCGAAACTTCACAGTCCTGCTGGCTGGAACGGCGTGAAGCTGCTTCTCCATCTTCTCTGGCATCACCCACTGCGGCGCCAACGCTAACGAGGTAAACACGGTGATTACAATGATTTGTGTTTGCACTGATTTATGTTTTCCACACACTAACAGAAGAGAGAACAAAGGTTTGAGGCTTACGCTGGAGCTTCTCGTTGCTTGTTGACAGCTCGTTGGACAGTTTGTTTTCCTCCGAGGATGACTCATCGTCTTCTTCGTCTTCAGAGGATTTCACTGCGTCGGCTGCAAAGAAAGAAGTCGGAGGTTTGAAAGCTGATGTGTGTTAGAGGCCGACAGACAATGAAACCAGTCTGTGGATTAACCTCTGACCTCTGACCCCAGCTCTGTGAAAGGGGGTCGCTGCGAATGAGGGCAGACGGGAGCTGTCGCCACAGAACAGTTCTGCACAAAACCACTTCCGAAACTTCAGAGACCTCCTCCCCGTCTCCCCCGACCATTAACAGAAAACAACACACATCCCTGCAGTCTCTCTCTGCTGTACGACAGCTAGTGGACCCCCCTCAGAGCCACTCATACATCCTTTGATCCTCGCTGACTCAGAGGAACTACAATACTTCCTCCTGTAATATCTTCAAACAATAAAACAATGTTATAACAACTGCTTTCATCATCACTGATCTCTATAAACACATATCTGCACAGCTCCTTTCGTTCAGTTTTATTCTCCCGGATGGGAAACTTCATTTGCAGTCAAAAACAAAAAGTACCAAAAACACAAACATTATTCCTGTGCATACAATAAACAACAAACTGTAATACAACAACAACAATGCAAAAACATTTCATTCAGGAGGCTACAACTGTGTGCAAATAAGATTTAAACATGCAGGTAACAGTCTGTGTGCTGTGTAATCTCTGATCGGATGTTGTCTGACGACGATTTAGCCTTTTAGAGAATGTATCTGCCTTCATATGCAGATATAAAACTGCTGAACTCTAATAATATTTAATAATGTAAAGTGCAATAAATACACCAGCACTTTAATCTCTTTTTAAGCCGCCATATTGTCAGTGTTGAAAGTAAAACTGCCTCTTTCATGATTTAAAGGCCCAGTTTGTAGGATTTAGTGACATCCAGCACTTTCAAACTAACAGATGCATCCACTGCATTTGTGCAAGGAAGTTTATGTAAAACAAGCGAATCAATGAATTTTGAGCATTGCTTTGATACTGTTTTCTGTAAATATTGATCAGAGATGCAATTGTCTGTCTGTATTTTCAGATTCCCCCCCCCGTGAGGCTTTGGTGACCCCTAGTGGGGGTCCCGACCCTCAAGTTGGGAACCACTGCCCTAAGCAACCCTTCTGCATGATAACTGTGTTTGTGGAGAATAGAAAAACCGACGCACTGAGACATATGTGAAGCTGAATCCCTGTAAAACCTCAAATGTGCAGCTTCTGTTAAACACATCAAACAATTTATAAAAAGATCAGCGGGCCGGTCGGACTAGTCGGCTTTTAGGGATGCTCTTTTACAAGAAGTGAGTAAAGTTCACGGCACTTCCAGGAACATTGAACTGGTTTTATCCTCAAGAGTCAGAAGGCAAAGAGTGTGCAGGAGGGAAGTGGTTCGATCTGGGGCAATACGACAGAGCGAGGTGGGAAATTGAAAGCAGGCTTTGTTTATGAACAGCAGAGAGGCTGAATCTGAGAGAAAAACAAGAATTTACGGGCTCAGAAACAACAGTATCACATAGACTCAGCTGGAGTCCAGATGGTTGGAGCCAAAAAGACAAGAAGGTATATACATGTGCACACGAGCACAAATACTGGTTCCTGAAAGAGGTTTCTGTCTGAGAGGCTGTGTGCATCTGTTCCCATGTTACTGTGTCTGGACAGGATATACAGACCATAACCAGCACCCTGAGAGCCAAGCCTCGGTTACACCATGAAGAATCACTTTAACCAGTTTCAGATGCCTCGGAGCCAAAAACAGCCAAAACCTTGAGTAAAGTCAGTCTCCTATTAAAGAAATTCGCTCATTGGAAAGTTTTATAAGCTTTTATATAAGTTGGAGTCTAAAACGCAGCGGCCGCAGACATGAAAGAGCCCTCAGACAAAAGAGAGGAGGAAACAACAGAGCGGTTAAAAACAGGCTGAAAAACACGATTTAACATCCGTCTGCAGAAAGACTGAAAGATGAAATGTTTATATCCAGATAGTCAGTGGAAAAAGTGACATTTTCTATTAGTTTTAGAGCTTAATCAGCAGCTATTCTGATAATCAATTAAATAAAAGTCAGTTTTATAGCTGATTCAAACATTTTAGATACCGATACCTTGACTTCAATACCAGTTCCTGAACGATACCAATTTTATAAAATTACTAACTTCAAAGGAGGAAGTGGTTCAAAGGCCTGGAGCAGCTAGAGAAACAGAATACTGAATATCTGCACAGTGTTGGACGATATAAAACTTACAATTAACAAATTGGCAGCAATACGTTTAGTCTGATCCAGATCAGAAGGAGAAGAAGGGAATGACTGTTTATGGTGCTAAGTAATAGTGTCAGAGTGAGACCTCTCTGTGCTAGAGACCAGCTGCAAACAGCTGTAAACAATGCCACGCCGTCTTAAACATGTTTTGATACTCGGTGGTGTTGCTGCAATTGAGTTGGTGTTCACGTTGGGTCTCTGTAAATCATTTTATAAAGAGTACGGTCTGTTTGAAAAGTGTCCCGAGATAACCTTTGTGATGAATTGGTGCTATACAAATAAAATTGATAAAGTGAGCAGCAATGGATGTTTACACTGAAACGGGGCGGCCTGTTATCACCGACCTATCAGCTGCTCCATCTTTCCCTCATTGACAGTCCAACAAAGGCTCCTTAAACACATCTGCCTACTGAATTCATATTAATAACATATATATAATATATATTTATATATATAATGTTGTGTACGTTGTGTTTCAGGATTAAATTTGCTCTGTAAGCCTCTTTACTTTAACTTTAAGCTAAAATATTGCTCAGAAAAAACACAATTAGACATTTACTCAAATGGCTGAGCTCTCCTGAACAGAGACATCTGTTAGGTATCTTACCTGTGTCTGTGTCCTCTGTGGCCGGTCTGGACTGAGCCCGAGGAAACTGGACCAGCAGAACCAGCAGGATGCAGGACAGCAGCAGCTGGAAGCAGCGGGGGGACGACATTGTGTCCTAACACGTCAACTTACTGAGACTTCCAGACCGTGAACTCACTGAGGAGAGAGACGATAAAGTCAGATTCACAAGAAGACAAGATGCTTGTAATCCTGATTACAACACTGATTTCTTCTCTTTAAGGCAGAAGGCAGTTAGTGTTCATTTCACTGAGGCAGGCCAAATACAGCGCCCAATGTGGATTCATCCACTGCTGAAAATAATCCCCTGCCAAAGACTTCTAAGGATATTAAATTCACTATCGAGCAAAGCAGGAACTCAACTGCAGCTCCTAAATGTGTGAATATCAAGATCGGTCCCCAGCTGATGGACGGAAATATGGTTTATTGTGTTAAATAAAGAGTCGGATGGTTCTGCTCTCTCCAGTGGAGTCGACACATTACATTAAACAATATAACAGAAAGAAATCTGAAATCACTCTGACTTTATATCATTTTGTGATGTTGTGACTTTGAGGTTCAGTTTTGATGGATTTACAAACTGCAGACAGCATCAATATGTTTCATAATCAATCGTTGCTGTTTGGACAAAAAAATAAAGAAAAATTGTGATGAAATTGTGGATTTATAGTAGATCAGTTGATTATTATATTAGTTGTCAACAAGTAAATTCATCTCCAACTATTTTGATAGTTGATTAATCGTTCTGAGTCATTTTTTAAGAAACAAGAATCCAAATTCTCAGATGTTTTCAGTTTTTCTTTTTGTCCTCTAAGTCAGACGACTTTGGGTTGTGAACAAAACAAGAGATCGGAGAACGTCACCTTGAGTTTTGGGAAACATTAATCAACATTTTTCACTATTTTCTGACATTTTATGGATCAAACAACAAATTGATTAATTGAGGAAATGATCGACAATGAAATCAGTTGTTAGTTAGATTAAACCGCTGGTTCTGAACCTTTCTATCATTGTGTAAACTGACTATATTTTATGGATATTTCATATTATATTGAATAATAACAATAACAGTAGAGAACAGCTGATAAACTGAATAATGAACCCAAACAGTGAACACAATCACTGCAGGAAGTTTGTGTAAAACCAGAGATTTGGATGAATTATTTCCTGTCAATATTGATCAGAAATGACTTTTTTTATACAGTTCTCTGTCTGTATTATGTATTTATTTAGTGTTTAACAATCATTCAGAGTTAATATTCCTCTTCTTTGACATATTCAGTATTTTCTTCTCATTGTTCTATTAGCTCTTTGGTTGTTTTCTACTGCAGGATGAGATTGAAGGTCTGTCTTCAGAGTTTAGATCAGAAATAATGAAAACTATAAAAATAACTATTAAATGTAGTTTTCTTTACATAAATGAATGAATATATATATATAGCCCTACTGTGTATATTTTTTTAGTTCTCCTACAACCCAAGAAGGCCTCACAACCCCCCATGAAGCTTTGGCGTCCCCTAGTGGACCAAACAATTATCAGAATAATTATCTATACGTGAGTTAGAGCCCTTCTCCTAAACCTCAAGTGTCCTTGAACGCCCCAACAGAGAGCTCGCTTTACCTGGTGATAAATTCATTAACAACAACAGAATAGTTGCTGCTGTATAGAGTTGAACGGGCCCCAGTGGCTGCTGGGAGACTGTCAGCAGGATCCTCTCAGGGCTTTCTGGCTGCTCGCACTGTGGCAGCTGTGAAAATGTGGTGATTTGGACCCATAAACCTCCGACACCCAGAGAGCCAACCCCCGCCCCCCCACAGCTCACCTGTGAATACTAAATCCATCAGGTGTGAAACAACAACGCGGTGCGGCAGTGACTCACACACACACAGATGTCCGCTGCCTGACACCAACACCATTTGCTGCATGTGTCACCAGGAAGGTGTGAACTCTGTACGGCAGCTGAGGAGGGACAAACAGCCTGATGGAATCCCTGGAAGAGGGTTTGGGACATGTTATTCAGACTAATCGATAAATTCTTTGACTTTAAATGTTAGAAAATGGCAGCTTCAAATGCCCAAAGATATTCAGGAGCAGCCAATCCTCCATCAGAGGAGCTGGAAACAGAGTTTGTACTTCAAACAGCATCAGAGCTTCTGATGAGTTAGTTCAACTCAAACTGTTTGAGGAAACCGACTTTAACCATTTAAGTTTATTTTCACTCAAACAATTTAAGCAAGAAAGATATTTGATCTGAGTAAAAGTAAATCAGGTATTTATTAAGGTGACCTTACTGTCATATGCAGCATTTCTCCAAACTTATTTAAAATAAAACAGAATTTATTTGAATATCTTCTCTCTGATGGTCTCATATAGAAGCATCAGTACTGACACATTAACGGGAGGTTTCCACTGTTGTAAATAAGGAATAAAGACCGATGACGTGTCTATAATCAGGAATTAATGGACTTCGCAGAGGCAACCGTCGTACAGCGAAGGGCATCATCGTCCTCACATTATTTCACATTTTCATACGTTTTTTACAAGCCATCACTCCGTTTCCCTGGTAACAGCTCAGGTCTGGAAGAATCATCACCAGCCCATAATATTCTAATGCAATGGAGACGTTGTTCACTGCTCCAGTAAATAGGACGAACCATAAATACGACTTCAGAGAGCTAACGCTACGCTACGAGCCAGCAAGCTAACGTTAAACACAACAAGACAAAGAGTAAATATAATCTGCAGCTGTCAGCCGGGTCTTTGTCCCCGAATCAATACCAACGATAGGACGAGTACTGACGGCTGCAGACAGTTACACTGGAACTATTTAGTATGTGTCCCACATCAGGAATCCCTCCCAGCAGCCAATCAGAATCCAGTATTCACCCAGACCACTGAGCTAGAGCAATGATGTACACAATAATCAATAATGAATATCATTAAGTGCAGAACATTTATATTCTATCGGGGCGTCCTGGATTGTTTGCTTCAGTCTCTAGAGAACAACTTCAGCTCGATCTGAACTTTGAAGGAGAATTAAAGGACATTAAAGATCAGCCTCATAAACAAGATGGACTCCGGTTGGCTGCCGTCCTCAGACGTCACCGAGGACACAGACACACCGAGTCCGTCCTCCAGCTCCCAGCAGAGCGTGTGGTTGAGGGCGGCGGCCCCGAGTACGAGGAGCGTGCCAGGTTTATGAAGACATAATTAATACGTTACACACACACACATATGGAGCACACGCCGGCGGCCTCTTAAATTAATGAAGATGTTTGTGAGCATTAGAGAGTTTTATGTGCCGCACACACAGCCAGCAAACACATCCTTCAAAATAAAAGCTGCTCAGATCCACTCAGAGCTGCATCTTAACCGACACTGTAAAACCTGACGGATCGCGTCTTCGACCAGGTCACAGTCGGGATACGTATCACGATACAGGAGCTACGATTCAATATCTCTGTCACATTCATCATCACAGCTGTTAGAGGTTCAATCACAAAAATCAATACAGTTTGAGAATCGATACAATATCAGGACAGAAAATATCACAATATGATATTTTTCTATATTTTCTTAAACCTCACAATTGACATTGTACCCTTTACATTTAATACTGCCAATGAAACTTTCAATAAAACATAATTTTCTGCATTATTTACTTTTACTTTTGATACTTTGAGCACATTTTACTTATAATATTTACACACTGTTACTGAAGTATCATCTGTAATGCAGGATTTTACTTTATTTTTCCAGTGTGTTATGGTAACTTTTACTTGAGTAAATGATCTGAATGAGTTATTACTGCAACCACTGGTTACTAGTTACTACAACAGTAAGACGCTATTAAAGTGAAATAAATGTAGATATAACACTTTTTACATTATGCACCTTTACTTTTGATACTTTAAGTACATTTTGCAAATTAAACTTTTACCAAATCAACACTTTCAATACAAGACTTTTACTAGTAGTACTTGTTATAGTGCAGTATTACTTTTATTCAAGTAAATAATCTTTAGAGGATCATATGAGACATTTTCTGTTTTATGCAACTTTACTTTTGGTACTTTAAGTATATTTTATTAATAATAATTACAGACTTTTTCTTAAGCAACATTTACAATGGAGGATTTTTACTAATAATGTATTTAATATAGTTTTAAAGTGCAGTATTACTTTTACTCAAATCGTCTTTATAGGATTATACGAGACATTTTCTGTATTTTGCACCTTTATAATCACAGTTTTAGTTTACTAAAGTACCATCTATAATGCAGAATCTTACATGTAATAGAGTATTTTTATCGTGTGTTACAGTTACTTTTAGTTATTTCTGCAGCCACAGATTACTTGTTATTACTAACTGCAACAGCAACATGATATTAATGTACAATAAACAGTGAAATTATTCACCCGTTCAGTCTCACTGACTCCTCTCTTAATAACTGACCTCTGTTAAACTTCACCTACACACCAGATTCTACAGCAGGCTGGCAGCTCGGGACAGTTTCCACCCGAGCACCGCGAGCGCCAGGCAGGAAGGAACCTCACGCAGAGTTTTATTTAAAGGAACACGGAGGATGAAGTCAGGAGGAATAAACATTAAATAGTTAGACTCCTCATCCTCACGCCACATATTTACAGATCACTGCGACAGGAAACAAACCACACTGCCAAAATAAAGCTCACACTGCTGCTGTTATATTGAACTAATAACAGAGAAATGTTGTATTTACAGTGATAGAACACGTCCTCTGATTGTTTATGTGAGTTAAAAGGAGAAATACTACATTATTATTGGGCTACATTAAATACCATTATTGATCCATAGATGGAGATAATTCAAACTATCTGATGATATCTGTTATATAAATGTAGTGCAGCCGAAGTCTAAAGTACCATAAAATGGAAGTATTAGTAACTTAAATCAGCTGTTTTACTGTAGTAAATAATGTGATGATGCTATTTCTTCCAACATTCATTAGTATTTACTTTACTAATTCAGATTTTACAGATATAATATGTGATCAGTTTATAACAAATTATGTTTTGTTGCAGATTAAATGATCAGATTTCATATAAAACAGCTAAAATGGCTGAGAGCAACATATAAATAATAATGTAAAGTATTAAAGTAGATGAAACACATCATTTTCTTCATTATTTACTTTTACTTTTGATACTTTCAGCACATTTTACTTATAATATTTACACACTGTTACTGAAGTACCATTTGTAATGCAGCATTTTACTTGTAATAGAGTATTTTTACAGTGTGTTATGGTAACTTTTACATGAGTAAATGATCTGAATGAGTTATTTCTGCAACCACTGGTTACTAGTTACTACAACAGTTAAGGCGGCTATTTAAAGTGAAATAAATGTAGATATAACACTTTTTACATTATGCACCTTTTACTTTTGATACTTTTAATTACATTGTGCAATTAAACTTTTACCAAATCAACACTTTCAATACAAGACTTCTTACTGGTAGTACTTGAGTATTTTTATTAGTGCAGTATTACTTTTATTCAAGTATAATAATCGTTTAGAGGATCATAGGAGACATTTTCTGTTTTAAGCAACTTTACTTTTGGTACTTTTAAACAATAATGACATTAGGGTTTTTAAAATTACGCTTGACCATCTACAATGCGAGGATTTTACTTGTAATAGAGGTATTTTTAGCGTGTTGTTACAGTAATTTTGGTTATTTCTGCAGCCACAGATTACTTGTTATTAACTAACTGCAACCAGCAACAATGATACTTTAATGTACAATCAAACACAACTATGGAACATTTTACTAACATTATGCAAACTTTTTATTTCGTTACTTTAACTTACTTTTAAAGGGTTCGCTTGTAATTCGAGTATTTTGTACAACATAACTCTGTGGCTTTAGCTTCTGTGTAGGCTTGGAAGGAAAACTTTATCTCTTAACTGAAAACAACCAAACAGTCGGGTAAACCAG